ATCGAAACAAAGAGTAATATTCAAGAAGTGGTTTCAAGACAAGATCAAGAAGGTGATTTGTTGGATTTAGCGGGTGAAACGGCAGAAGCGGTTGGTGATAGTTTGGCGTTAGCATTATTCGATGGAGCGGTTGGGACTGAAACTGCTTCTGGACCGGGGTGGGAAACGTTTGATGATGATTCGGCGGATTGGGAGACAGATTTGGTGAAATCGGCTACGAGATTGTCAGGACAAAGGAGTGAGCTTGGAGGAGGATTTGATACTTTGTTGCTTGATGGAATGTATCAATACGGTGCGGTTAATGCTGCGGTTAAAACGTCTACGGCTTATGGAAGTAGTGGAAGTGCGAGTAGTGTAGCTTTTGGTTCTGCAGGAAGACCAGCAGGTAAATCAAATATAAATTTAAGTAAAGTTCAATTCGGTTTATTCGGATTGATATGATCTAAATTTGTTGTTGATACATTATATGGTGATGCAGCTTCAATGTTGGCACTACCGGCGCCGTCAACGACCGCCATTGGAAACGGAATCGGAAGCAAAAATCCGGTGACTTTGGACCCGTTTGCAGCGTCTCTAGAGGTGGCTCCACCAGCGTACGTGCAAATGAATGATATGGAGAAAAAACAGAGATTATTAATGGAAGAACAAATGATGTGGGATCAATACAACAGAAATGGAAGACAAGGATACATGAATTTCAGACCAAACCATCAACAACAACAACATTATCAAGTTCCATACTCCATGGGACCTTACTCTTACGCACCTCGCTATTGAAATTATTCAAACACACAAAAAGTTATTGCCATTGAAGAGCTTGAAAGAAAGGTGTTAAGCTCCTTCGTTTTTTTTTTTGTGGGGTCTCTCTAACATTGTAAACTCTCTCTTCTGGTTACTCCTTTTAAGAAACATCAGGGTCTCTCTTTGACGTTACGGATTTTCCCACCATGCTTGTACACAAAACTATTGGAAACTTTATACCAAGTTAGGTCTCTGCAACAGGTAATGCAAAGAACGACAGAGTTGTGATTGTGGCTCTGTTGAAGAACTGAAAAAAGGAGAGTTTTCAGTTATATTACAACATAACAGAGTTTTGATAGATCTATCTTAGACGACGAACTAAAACAAGCAGTTGAACGAGCAATATGTAACTGAAATTCCGAGACCCTTCAAGATGATAGGGTACATGCAATGCGACTCGCACTTTTTGCAAAATGGACGAGATATGCTATCATTGCATACTACTATATAATAAGTGCCCCAAGATTTTATTGAGCTTCCTGGCATGAGCCCTGTCAAGTCTCCGAGCACACACTCTGTATGCAAACTAGCCCGGTGATCTTTACACGTGTAGAACCATTTCTTTGGATAAAGATTCTTTCTCACAAATGTCACACCAGCATTTACCACTTTCCCCTTCTTCGCCATAGCATAGTGAGAGAGGATGGTCGTCAACTCTGTGCTTTAACTCTTGTGGTAAAGTGGCGCATTTGAAGCATAAGACAAATTCACAGCCATCTTCAATGCACCTGACCACATGCGTTTCCTCCTGATTGCAACCGTTGCAGATTTCATCTTTTTTTTTTTTTTTGATAAAATGTGAATATTATTACCATAAGGAAAGTCGAATACAAGAGCTAATAAACCTGAAACTTCTTTGGCCAAAAAAAGATTAAAAAACCAAGTAGAAGTTAACTCAGGATAACAAAGCAATCAAAGCAGGACAACTCAATTATCCAAACCTAGACCATTGAATAAGAAGATTACTGCATCCCTTGCGCCAAAGCCTTGCTATAAGAGTATCTCGAATTGATCGATCAATTTGCCTGAAAGTGCATTCAACAGTGAGAGAAGTTTTGTTGTGGAACCTGTTATTTCGTTCTCTCCATAGCGTGTAGATGGTGTCTTGGGCCGCAATCCTCTTGAGTAGAGTCAACTTACGGTTACCTGAACTAGCAAGTAACCAAAATATAAAATTATCCCATGAGAGAAAGGAGTTCCTGCTCGAACCCAGTCGCTGGAGAACCTTTTCCCACACCAGAACA